ATTCTAGGTAAAGACGAAATTCACACTCATATTCACATCTTTTCGTTTATATTTCAATGATTCTTTCTCGTAAACGCATTCAAAAACAACAATCTAAAGGATTGAATAAAACAAAACAGAAATCCAGAATCGGATAGAGACTCGTTTAATAAATGCGTTTCAGATAAGCGCATAGGCAAAACGAATTAGGGTGTGGGTGTGTGATATGGATATGAATGTAAATTGAGAAAAGACCTGCAAACACACTCATATCCACACACACCCTATGCTTGTTAATTAACAACAAATTCAAATAATTTTTCTATTCAATTAAAATATGAATTAATATATTTATGTATATATTTTTCTCATGTATTTAAATGATTAGAATAATTATCAAATTTATATTATTAATATGATAAATATATTCGCATGAAGTTTTATAAAGATGATTTAATCATATCATTAATAAGTTATGTTTTATATAAATCTCGTTTATTTATTGGAACACAAAAAACAAAAGAATATAATGAATTATATGTATTATGTTTAATTAATCATAAATTTAAATGACTGACTATAATTCATGATTATAGATAAGATTTTCTTTTACTTGAATATCATCATGGAAATTATTGAAATTTTTAATATATAAAGATGATAGAAGTGTTCGTCAAATAAGCTGTTTTGAACTTTTACTAAGTATAAACATTATAGAGATATTAATTTGTTGTTTTTTTCTATGCCTGAGTCCATTGAAATAAACTAGCAATTGTCAATCTTAAACTTTTATCAGAAAACGATACGTTCTTTGTTAGACATAAATATTAAAATAATATTTACTTATTGTACTTCAAAGCTTTTAAATTTGTTTATATAACAAATAAAAAATACGAAAAAATCTGGCATATTCATAATGATCGAATTCTATTGAAAACTTTATTTATAGTGACGTTTTAATAGTTAAGTCAATTTTATCGAAATTTTACTGTAAATATGTATAATCTTTTGATTTAGTTTTGTTTTGATATCGAAATATTAAATGAGTTTGTTTGCTTAAACAATCTATGAAACATGATATGTATGACAAAATTGTGTCGTACTCGTACGATAAGAACAGCAAAAAATATCTGAAACATCTAGAAAAGAATATTTTTATTCAAATTTTCAATTCAAAGTGTCAAAAAATTACTTATTCTACTAAAAGAGCATTCGCTTAAAAAAATATTCTTCCAATTGAATTTTTGTTCAATTCTCATCACATATGATTTAAATAAACAAAAGAGATAAATTCGATCTATTTTCTTTTTGTTTTTCTATTTTTTATTTTTCATTAAACTAAAAATTTGTCCTAAAAAATATGTTTTTACAAATGAATATGATATTAAAGCGTTTTCACTCGATTTATTTATACATTTCTATTTCATTCGTGTTTATTATAGTTTTCTAGATAATGATGTTCAATGTATTTGAAATTTTTCGTCTTTTTTTTTTTTAAATAGAACTTTCTTACTCATATAATCAAAGTTTATTTATCATTTTTCTCGATTTTTTTTTCTTAGATTCTCACATAATAAACTTTATTTGAAATAATTAATAGAGTTACAAAAATTAATAAAATATTTGATTTATTATTAGGAAATGAAAATGAATTTGATAGAAATTGTACGAAACAAAAAACAAAAGAAATCTTTTTGTCGAGAAAGATAAATTTATATCGCATTTTGTTTTTATTTAGTTGTAACACGATTAGAATCAGTCATTTATTGATTTTTCGACTTAAGATAGATCATTAAAA